TGTTGAGCAATGTATACGAAGTGCCTGGCTCATGGACCTGCTGGCTATTATTAGAATAACAATCATCCCCATTTTACAGATGCAGAAAATGAGGCTCAGAGAGGTGCAAAGACTGTCCTAGGTCACCCAGCCAGTGAGAAGCTGCACCCCACAACCCCAGAGGTTTGCTTGCCCAAACAACCACATGTTGGGGTCACCTGGGGAGTTATCCAAGTACTAAGTCCTTGAGCCCCGTTTCAGCTCCACTGAATTTGAATTGTGAGAGCCAAAATCTGTGCTTGAAAAAAAAAAAAAAGCTCCCCGGCAGTTCTGAGGCTGCTGTTCAGGCATTTGGAGCCATTGGTCTGCACTGTGCGTGCTGTGGGGGACGGGGAGTTTGCTACCTCCCACGGCAGCCTGATTCACATGGTTGTGCATCCCAAAGCCAGATCAGAGAGGAAGCCTCTCATTTGGGAGAGTTATCTGAGGCTCTTTTCTACTGTGCTCACCCCTCAAGAGCTGGGGGGGGGCATCCCCATTGTCCCTCCCACTCACTTACGCTGGCATCTGGCCCAGAGGGTTACTCATTAGGTGGCTGGGAGTGGCTGGCCCCTCATCAGACACCTGTTAGAAGAGCCTGGACTTCTCCCTCAGCCCCAGCGGCCCAGGGGCCTGTAAATCATTCATCCCGGGCCCTCTCCCCACCCCGCTGCTCTCACGCACCTCCCTGCCCCCTCCTTCCTGGGCGCTGGAGGTGGCACAGGTGCTCAGAGGAGGGGAAGAGTGGTGACTTGGGGCAGTCGGGAGTTCTGGCCCAGAGCTGGGACTAGAGCCCAGGATTCCTGACCGTCATTAAAAATGCAAATTCACATCTGCATGTAATAAAAATTTAAACACCCAAAGTCTCCTTCCTACTTGTGGCTTTCCAGCCTCTGGTTCCCTCCTCAGAGGCAGCTCCTATTATTGGCTTCTTGTATATTCTTTCAGAAAGAAATATACGGGTGCACAGATGTGTGTGAGTGTGTGTGTGTGTCTCCCCGTTTTTATGCATAAACAGTAACATACTATTTACACCATTATATGTCTTGCTTTTTTTCACTTATCTTAGAAATTGCTCCACATTGGTACATATGGAATTTTTAAATGTCTTTCCTTTCTTTTTTATTTCTGGAGATGGGGTCTTGCTCAGTTGCCCAAGCTGGAGTACAGTGGCATGATCATAGCCCACTGCAGCCTTGAACTCCTGGGCTGAAACGATCCTCTTGCCTCAGCCTCCAAAGTAGCTGGGACTACAGTTGCATGTCACTAAACCTGGATAATTTTTAAAATTTTTTGTATAGACAGGGTATCATTATGTTGCTCAGGCTGATCTCAAACTGCTGGCCTCAAGCAATCCTCCTGCGTTGGCCTCCCAAGGTGCTGGAATTACAGGCGTGATCGCTGTGCCCAGCCTGTGATTTCCTTTTAATGATAGCATATTGCTCCTCTCCGTAGATGTCGCATTTCTTATTTAACCAGTTCCCTACTTGTGCACATACACGCTGTTTTTAGTCTTGTGCTATTAGAAACATCACTGGGCAGGTCTCTGCGGGGTCAATTCCTGGAAGTGGACTTCAGGGGTCAAAGGGTATGTGCCTGCTACATGAGGCTAGATATAGCCGAGTTGGGCTCCAAGGAGGATGTTCCAGTTATCACTCCCTGGACAGCATATGGGATTCCCTGGTTTCTGGGCCACCCAGTGTGATATCAAACATTTTGTTCTTTGGTGGAGCTGTTTTCTTGGCAATTAAGTTGTATGCTTCAAACAACTCTGGCAGATAAAACTTGGCCAATGGGTCCCTGAGCCTACCAGCCCCTCTCCAGGGCCCAGAGAGGGAGTGACAAGGCCCATGGGCCCAGTCTTCACTGCAGTCTTGCCAGGACAGAGAGGAGTCATTGGCGGCTAAAGCCCTATTGTTCTAGTCCCACCTGCCTCCATTTCGGGAAGAGCTGGACCGGAGGTCAGAACACCTGAGTCCTGATCATAGCTCTACCAGGCAGGACGGCCCTCAGCGAGAGCCCTTTCTGAGCCCATCTATGAAAGAGTGGGTCCCTGCTTGCTCATCAGAAAGGGCGGGAGGGAGAGCTGGGTGCCTAAGGGCCAGGCAGCCTGCATGACCACTGCCTGCCATCCCCAGGCCCAGGTCTGGGTGGGCAGGGAGCCTCATCCCCTGCCTCAGGCCCATCCGCCTCCTGCGCGTGGCTGTGAGACCTCTGAGCATTTTAAAGGCCCCCAGCCTGCCGGCCCTCCAGCCCCAGGCCCAGCCCGGGACTCCCAGGGGCCTGGTCCCTCCTGTCCCGGCAGTAGAGTGGAGGGGTGGTCTGTGGTTAAACTTCTGCCACCAACGCTTAGACCTACCTAGGCCTCCAGTGACCCTGACTATATAGGGAGGTCGGACTGGGTCTCACCAGGCCTCTTCTTTGGACCTTGGTGGCCATGTAACCACTGTGAACCATGGTCTCTTCCTCTGTAAAGTGGGAGGAGACTACAGTCCCATGACCCTTCCTGACGTTAGCCTGATGGACCCAGTGGGGCTGTGGATTCAGAGCCATGCTGGGCTCTGGTGGTGGTGGCATTAGGGAGAACTGTTTTTGAGCCAGCATTGAATTTTCTAGGCCAAGGAGAGGTCCCCATCCGGGGCCGGGGCCTGGGCAGCCACTCCCTTGACCCTTTCCTGGGGCCAGGCCTGGCCGAAGGCCGAGGCTATCCCGTGCCACTTCGGGCAGCGGACTGAGGTCAGTGGATTCGGAAGCGTCCGGTGCGGTTCCGCTGCTCTGGCAGAAAACCCAGGGAAAAGCTGCCCGGGAACATCTGCTGTCTCCCGTTCTCCACAAAACCATTTGGCTCAGGGGGAGCCCAGTGGCTCTCCTGCCAAGCTGCGTAGGCTTGCTGGAGGGGGCGGGGGCCAGAACAAGGGAGGGGGTAGTTAGCACAGGGGCGCTGAGGGACCGGCAGGGCCGGGCTGTGACCCAGGGAGCTGAAGGCCAGGCTGTTGTCGGGGCACTTGGGTGAGCTGGGAGGGGTCAGTGTTTATCCAGAGACCCACCATGTCCTGGTGGGACACGTGTGGGGTCCGAAAGTGCTGTGTGCGCCTCCTATTTATAGCCGCGTGCTCGGCTTCTCACAAAGGAAACTGGTGTTTAGCCAGGCCCCCACGCCAGCCCAGGCCAAGCTCGACTCTTAATCTCCCCTCCAGACAGACCTCCGATCCCAGTCCCGAAGAAAGCCCTGACATTAACCCCAGACGGTCCTCAATCGGGCTCCTGGCCCCAGGCTGAGCCCCCCGTCGAAGCCAAGGCGCTGCCCTCTCTCTCCTGGGTTGTCGTAGATCTCCCTGCACTTCCCTTCCTCCTGCCAAATCTGCTCCCCATGCAGCAGCCGGAGTAACCTTAAAACCTAATCAGATCTTGTGTCTTCTCTGCTCAGAATCCTGCAGTGGTTCCCACCCCAGACAAAGTAAAACCCAGAGCCCTTTTTCTGTGTCCCATCCCTGTCCCCTTGCTCCCTGCACCCCAGCCCCACCAGCTTCCTCACTGTCCTCAGACATGTCAGACAGCAGGCACGCTCCCATCTAAGGGCCTTCATACTTGCTGTTCCCTCTGCCGGGAACCCTCTTCCCAAGATATCTGCATGACTCTCTCCCTCGCCTCCTCAGCTGGGTGCAGTGGCTCACGCCTGTAATGCCAGAACTTTGGGAGGCCGAGGCAGGAGGATCGCTTGACTTCAAGAATTCTAGACTATCTTGAGCAAGAGGGAGACCCCGTTTCTACCAAAAAGAAAAAAAAAAAATCAGCTGGGCATTGTGGTGCACACCTGTAGTCCCAGGTACTTGGGAGGCTGAGGCAGGAGGATCGCTTGAGCCCAGGAGTTGGAGGTTGCAATGAGCTATGATGATGTCACTGCACTCCAGCCTGGGCAACAGAGTGAGACCCTGTCTCAAAAAAAAACAAAAACCAATTTCTCCTTCTCGTAAGGCCTCCATGGACCAGTCTATTTAAAACTGTAAGCTCCCCTCCTCCCTAAATTCTTAGTCCTCCTTCCCTGTTTCCTTTTCCTCTGAAATACTTATCATCAACTAGCATGTCAAATATTTTGCATCTGTCTTCCTCCCCTAGAACCTAAGCTTCCTGAGGGCAGGGATTTTTTTTATTTTGCTCAGTGCTGTACCCCGGTGCTTGGCTGACAGCAGGAGCTCAGTAAGTAGATGTGGAAAGACTCAGTCACTCCCGCCCTGTGCCTGACTTAGGCAGATGAGCCCCCAGCCCCCGTCACAGCCCCAGCTCAGGGCTTCGTGTCATGGGCCAGAGCCTTTTGAGGTCCACCAACACCCCTCGTCCTTCCTGTCTGACTTTGGGGCCATCTTCCGGCATTCAGCCCTCACATTCAGGACAGTTCCTGAGTCGGCCTGCTTTCACCTCCACCTGCGGTGGCTCTTCCCTGCTGTCGTCTCGTGCACAGGAGGAGGGAGCAGCTGACATCCTGTTAGTGTCAATCACCCTTGCCTGCCAGGCATCTGTTCCATGTCCCTGGCATGCAAACCTGTGGTCTGAGGACCCTGGAATCAGAACCACCTGGGGAGTTTGTTAAAAATGCAGATTCCACCCGCAGGCTTTCTGTTTTTCACAAGCTCTGCAACTTGGGAATTGCGGGCTCGAAGCCGGTGGTGCTGGCAATCAGAGTAGGGCTGTGGGTCAGGAGACCTGGGTTGAAGCCCCAGCTCCATCAGCGGCTTGCTGCGTAATGTTGAGCGGGGCGCTTCCCCTCTCTGAGCCTCAGTGCCTCCCCCAGTGGGTGCGAGAGGTCATGCACGCCTGAGCTGGGGAAAGATTGTTGCCCCTAGGACTGGGGTGCGTGTCCCTCCCCAGTTCAGGGTCCTACTTTAGGGACCCTGTATTGCTTTTCCTGCTGGGATTCCTGCCTGAGCCTTTTGCAGGCTGCCCCTCCCTACTCACCTTCCCTCCTGGCTCCTTCTGCTTCTCAGGCAAGACTCGGACCAAAGACAAGTATCGCGTGGTCTACACCGACCACCAGCGCCTGGAGCTGGAGAAAGAGTTCCATTACAGCCGTTACATCACCATCCGGCGGAAATCAGAGCTCGCTGCCAATCTGGGGCTTACTGAACGGCAGGTGTGTGGGTGTCCGCATCTCTACCATAGGAGCAGTGTGGGGACTGTGGTCTCTAGGCTGCCAAGCATATTGTGTAGCTCAGTAGAGGAGGAACAGAGAGGGTGAGTCTCCAAGCCATTGTCACACAGCACAGCAGAAACTGAGCTGCTGCCAGCCTCCCCCTCTGCCCACCAAAACTCAATATCCCTGCTCCCAAATAGCAGGCTAAGGGGATCTGATTAGCTATAGGCTACAGCAGGCTATGGTCAGTGCTGTAGGAGGTGTCAAGTGCTATTTAAATTAGAGGAGGGAGCCGTCACAGGGAGAACAGGGAGGGCTTCCTGGAAGAGGGGTGTGAGAGGAGACCTAGGAAGATGGGGAGGAAGAAGGGAGCAAGATCTGGAAGAGGAGAATGTGTTCACAGTCCACGCGTGGCTGGAGCAGGAGGGAGGCTCACTGCCCTCCCTCTCTCCCTCTTGCTCTTGTCAATCCTCCCACCGCCTGCCCCATCTCTGCTCTCTAATCCCACAGGTGAAGATCTGGTTCCAAAACCGGCGGGCAAAGGAGCGCAAAGTGAACAAGAAGAAGCAGCAGCAGCAGCAACAGCCCCCACAGCTGCCGGCAGCCCTTGACGTCACCCCCACCCCAGCCGGGACACCCCTGGGGGGCCTGTGCCCCAGCAACACCAGCCTCCTGGGTACCTCCTCCCCAATGCCTGTCAAAGAGGAGTTTCTGCCATAGCCTTGTGCCCAGCCTTGTGCGCTGGGGGCCTGGGGACTCAGGTGCCGGGAATGTGGCTCCTGTGGGGGGTCTGAGTCCCAGCCCTGACATTGACCTTCTGGGTCACTGTGAACAAGTCACCCCAGCCCCACTGCATCCCCTTGGCCCATTCGTGCAGTGAGCCTGTTGGATAAGGACCTCTTCCATCTCCTGTGTTCTAGGCCTCAGGGTGGGAGGTCTCAATCTCCTGGGGGCCTCTCAAGCCCCAGAGGGCTGGGAGAGGGGCCAAGACAGTGCCCCCGGCCCCACCTCCTCCTCCATAGGTTCAAGGGGTGGGCTGGGGGGCTGCTATAGGGACCCCCGCCTGACCCTGAAGAAAGGGGATGGAGTTGAGAGAAGATGGAATGCTTGCAGACCATGACCGAGGAGGAAGGAATGGTCAGTTCCACCGCCCCCCCTAGCCTCTTCCTGCAGTCTCACCTCTACCTGCCCCATCTTAACATGCCTGAACCCCCAGGCTAGGTGCTGGGCACACAGCCCACAGTGCTGGGCTCCGATGACCACCCTGCTGGGTTGCAGAATCTTGTCCCTCACCAGCGTTCTCAGTGAGGCCTCTAGATTGAGAGGGAGGCCCCTGGAGGGGAGAAGGGGGCAGAGTTCACCCTGCCAGGTTTTTGCCACCCCGCTAGGCTGTCCATCAGGGCCCACGCCCCAGGGAGCCCCCAGAGGACTTTCTCTGGACCAAGCCGAGCTCACAGCTGGACAAGTGTTGTATATAGAGTAGACTCTCTTGGATGTACCTTCAAGAATAAATTTTTTTCTCTTTTTAAAAATGTATAGAAGTCATTATACATAGCGTTAAAGAAACATTTTCAAAACATAAAAATCATCCTTACCCTTCCCTAACAATTTCGTATTCCTTTCCTGTTTTTGTCGGCCTTGCAACAAGGTCCCCTTTAAAAGACATTTGCAAGATCAAAATAAGACATGGTTAGAGTAAGTGTGAGACTGTATAAAAATTTGCGTCCATATTGTGTAAGCAGAATCATCAGACTTAATATATCAGTCTTTTGAATTTTCCAGATACTTTCAGTTGAGGTTTTTCTTTCAACAGATGACATTGACGGCATAGCCCCATGTGCCCAGTATGGCTGGGCCTGGGAGGCGCATAGTCCTTGCCCCCCAGGAGTCCCCAGCTGAGTGGGGAGGACTGAGAGGTACACAGATGACGCTGGCATAACAGGTTAAGTGCCCATCAGAGGCGTGCTCTGGGCATCAGGGAAGCCAGAGCATCTAGGGATCCCAGAGCACACTCCTAGCCTATCCTGGCAGGCTGGGAGGCTTCCTGGAGGAGGTAATGTTTGAACTGAGACCTAAAGAACTAGTGGGTGCTGGTCAGGCCAAGAA